GGCCAAAATGACACCAGTCCAACCCGACTGGGCACACAATGAGCAATTCGGAGTGCAGTTTACTGGTGAAACTGATATTTATCTCCTGATTGAAATCAGTTGGAAATTCTGTTAATGTCGTGTCAGCATTATAGCCTTCCCACAACCCAGAGCACTGTTGGTTTGGCTTGTTCCTTGCTGGGCATTTACCTCACAGTAGACGTGGCTGGACTGGAAATATGCAGAGAGCATTAAGCAAAATTCTTTTTTTCATGCATTATTATTGGATGCCGTCTTATTTTTTTTTTTTACAAGAGCAGGGAAATCACTTTTAACATGAATGCAGTCCCTGATCTTGTTACGATAGTTCTGAGCGGTCCCATCAGATAAAAGCCACTCATTTTTACCCTTTCAGCTTTTCTTCCCAGCAAATGCCAAAACGCACAAGCAATTTTTAAACAGTTATTTGAGACAAATAAGATACAACATAAGCAACACTTTGTTCTGTGTTGTTCAAGAACGCGAGTTCCATGGGTTTTCCAAAGAAATGAGGATTCAGCTGGGTTCTGCAGACTGTGTTCTCCGTCTATGGGATGAGCTGTCTCTGCAATTTTTTTCATAGGTCTACGCTTATCCAAGTGCTGCAGGCATGACAAGAGAAACACAAGAGTTTTCTTTCATACCAATTATACAGCCAATACGACCAGGAGCCAAGCGGGTGGAACAGTGACTGACACATAATCAGATTGTCTGGGACCATCCACACTTAGGAAATCATTCCAGAATTTTTTTTTTCCTCTCCCACTCCATAAACAGAAAGTCGGTCGAAGCTCTGGCGGCAGATATTTGTATGAAAAGCGTTCAGTAAATTAAAAGGTCAACATTTTAAAGGCCATGAAATTAACTCTTCCAAATCCAGGGCACTTTTCAATGCACAGTGGATGGAATGCCAGCCCCCCTCCCCCCACAAGCCCAATATGATTTCCTGTAATTTCTGTAATTTGTCTCGCAAGGCACAACACTGAGCCTTCATGGGCAAAGAAGTCAGCAAACAGTTGCTTTGAGATAAAGCATTAACGACTGAGTACTTCAATTTCATATAAAATCCTGTAGATCAATGTAAAGTCCTACCACCTTGCACATACATGTATACATGACCTTTAATAATAAATGACATATTTCCATCAAATTTAATTTTGTGTATAAAGGTCAATGCACAGTGTTCTTACTTATTATATATATTATTATAAATTGATTTTACTGTTGGTCTGGTATAAAGCAACTTACATTTCTATTTATTTACCTGGGCATTTTACAGAAGCAATCTGGGTGAGGTACAATACCTTGAAGTACCCAAAAGGTACAACAGCATGTCCCACCCAGAAACCTAGTTCCTCAACCTTTATGGTGTTAACAGGAACCTCTGACACTCACCCCAAAACATGTGAGATGGAATAAGGATCACACCAGGACTAAAATCAATAACTGAATGCTAGTTCTCTTCTGAAAGTATCTGACCATAATGTAGCCCACTGTATATACAGAGAAGGATGGACTTCAGTATCAACCAGAAGTAGGCCTTACTGCTTTCAGCGACTGAGATGCGATACTCTCACCAATAGCCAGCTTTTATGAGGTATAACTAAGCAAAATAAATGTGCTAGTTATTGAAAATGTCTGGCTTGAATCTTACTGTTTGTCCTTCAGACACTGCAGCCAAGACTTTACAACCTCTGACTCTGCAGAACCTTGACAACTCTCCTAACCAGGAATCAGAAATCACACGTACAGCATTTCAATGAGTATGATGTGCAGGCAGTGTCAAAGAGCCATTGTCTCATAACCAACACATTGGCACTGCATGCATAAACTCACACAACGTCATGAAAATCATCCTAACTGCATATTTACAAAGCTCTCCATTTTATTTCAGTCCATTTTATTTCAATTCATATGTTCTTCATGAATTCATTTCCCTCTGACTTTCCCTTATAATAACACAATCAGCCATTTCAGTGAGTGAAAAATGAATAGTTTGACAAGTGAACATGGAATCATCAACTATAATAAAAAGCATTACATACAATAATTAAAGGGCATTGAAATAAATATTTTGTAAAGTGGATTAGCTTCATATAAAATATTTACCAATTCTGCAGAAAAAACATGTTTCTGTATACATAGTTGTGAGCTGTATTTATATTTTGAATTTGCTTTCTTTTTTCAGGATGTAATTAAGCTTTTCCATTTAGGTTAAAAAACAGAAAACATTAATACAACATTATAACAATTAAACCATCTTTATTTTATTTCCTTGTCTTTTAGTTTGTCTGGTTCAACCTAGAACCATTACTATGGCAGACTGATTCTTATACATACATATAGTGTACAAGAATTTGGCATTTATTCACCATTTCTTTTTTGAAATCATCTAAAGAAATCTCAACAAAGTGAAGCAGGTTGTTCTACAGACGTTCATGTGTGTCAATGCTTGGCAAAATGTCATCAGCTTCACTGATTTTCCGAGAGAAATTGACTCTTTTATCTGCTGGTACGTGTCGCGTTGAGCATCCTAACATTCCTCAGGGCATGTGGCAAGAACAAAGCTGATGGACAACTGGAAAGATTTGCTTCAGCAATCAGTTAAAACATTCAGCAGAGGTCTCTGAATAAACACAAACTCAGCTCCCCTAGCAGGTGGTTGACTCAGATATTCAAATCATTACCCTTTTCTGCAAGAAGGTTCGCTGGGGCCAAGGTTCCCGTGTGATGGACAACTTGTGTGTGCTTGCAGATGTGATCTGCACTGCGCTCAGACCTGTGCGTGAAGAGAGAGCCAGCGAAAAAAACAACAAACTCTGGCCCATATATCGCTGAGGGCAACGTCCAATCAAAGGGCTGTCAATGCAGCACTTGCTGAATAAATGACTTGCTTTGACAGGAAATTCCAAGTGCAATTTTAATTCTGATCAGGCTTCAGGAAGTGGAAAGAATAAAAACACATCAATTATAATGACAGGAAGTCTTAAATCACATGGCAAGCAGCTGTTGCCAACAGAGAAATTGCAGAGCCTTGTTAAGATTGTGGCTTTTTGGTGCAACCAAGAAAAAAAAGGCAGAAAAGATGACATCACGCTCTCTTTTCTGAATCAATTCCATACTTATCTGTCAAATATTTCTATTCTAAAAAGATTCTTTGCAAATTAAAAGATGTTATACTTCCTAGGGAAAAACATAAAGCTAAGGATTAACATTGCGGTTACCTACTAAGACGTTATGCTAATACTAAGAAACCCTTGCTATGTGTACATATGGAGACATTTAGTACTTTAACCATCTGCTCTTTATACTGGTCTTGGCTGCAAGTCTGGAGGACACAATCGAATTAGTCAAAACGTTATGGGTGCTTCTTTTTACAAAGTCATAAATAAATATAATTGAAGTGAAATGGTTTGAATGTGATCAGCATTTAAAATTACAATTCATGTGCATGTTCAAAATAACAAAGAAGCATTTATCGGACACAAGGGAACCAATCACTTACGACTAACAGCGGTGTTCAGTAATGAAAATGAGTCTCTGTAGGTCGTTTCGGCACTGATTCTGCCACCTAACGAGACTGCAAGAACAATGGCCCAAGGTTTGTTTTCTAATAAACAATGCAAATGTTCCCAATTATCAAGTATTACATGACATGTGTCAATTTCTCAAGATCTCTCTCAGAATCCGCCTGCCCTAACCAAGAAAAAACACTGTGCTTATTAAGACTACAGAGTAATGTTTTTGATGGATTTACTCCTGTTGAACAATGACTGCCGCTGGGGTGCTGAGCTACAGTAAGCTGGCAGTCTTTTGTGAAAACCATTCCTTCATGAATGAAAACTGGAGCTGCTTTAACGGGGAATTAAATTCAAGCTCTAGGCTGGCTCGCTACACTACACATGCGTCTTTAATTTACTGCATTAGGAATACTTAAGTATAGCACTGTGAGCTCTGGGAGTTGCTGAACAAGTTACAATTTCATTTGTCATAAGCTATAAGAAGAGTGGATCAATTCCCCAAAGGGACATTCAGAAGATCTCAGTTCCAGGTGATGCTCTTTGATATGATGCATCTTAAATTGCCTCAGTCTGTATTTACTTAATAGATGTAAGTGAACAAAGATAAGGTTTCCAAATCCTAAATTGGAGACAGAGAACTGCAGGTATCCCTTTTCACAAACCCACTCATTATCAATTGTTCAGGAAACAAAGTTCTCTCTCGGTTAAATGATTTTGAATCTGCGTATATTTCCATAATTTAGAATCATGTTAGTCTAAGTCTTTTTTTTCTGAAATTAAACAGTTCAGATTCAAAACATACGAAAACCCATTGCTTAAGGGAGAATTTTATATTTAAGACAAGATTTTTGTATGCTTTTGTTTCCAGTTTGTATATTAGAGTTTTAAGAATTTAATTCAAAATAAAATCCTGATGTAATGAACCTCAGAAAATATTAAAGCTCTTAAATGCTGTCATCCCCAAGACTTAAAGGTGAACATGATAAGTAATTATAAAGAAATAAGTACATTAAGGACATTTTATTTATGCATTTATCACAAGCTGTATTTAATTATCTGAAGTTCAATAAGAAAAACTTACAAAAACTGTAATAATTGAGAAAATGCATTCCCACACATTACCACAAGAGGATGCTGTTTGAGCTCGGCAATGTGGCAAACATTTGGTCAAACCTTTCAAAAAACATTTTAAGAAACAAGCAGCTAATTTTAAGAAAAATAACTTCTTTATGATGTGCAGAAGCAAGATCTGGCTCTCGTTAAGTATATCAGTTTGTATTTGACGTCATACATTACACTTCAGTTTTGAGAAGGAAGTTTCGGTGCTTATATTCCACAAACAAAATCTAAAAGCAACAAAAAAGGTTAAGTCTAACCGATAAACTCTCAAAATAAAGTCTCAAAAATGTATTATATCAGTTACATCACGCTGAGCGTAAAAAATGTATGATGAGTCTTTACCTTCAGACTGGTGTGCTGCCAGAGGTGTCTGAGTTTCTTTGGAGTATGTCACTACTTCTTTTGGCAAGAAATCCACCTGGGTAATTTTAGAGGCTCCCAGTCTGTGCATCCTGCGCCTGGAGAATAGAGAGGTGTGAGCCTTATACTGACACAGGACAGAGCACTAGCAAAAGATGCATCAATGTCTAAATACATTAGCATTGCTCCCCTCAGTCAATAGGCTGACTGACAGGTGAAGCCTCTGACTGTACTGACTGACTTCTTATCAAGTACTTCTCCAGTACAATGACATCCCCTCACCTTTCTCTGAGTAAAGTACAATGCAATTATTGTATTTTACAAAGATGGCCTTTTTTGAATTTCCATTTGGCAGAGCACACGAACAACATTACAAGAACTATCGACACAAACGTGGCTGAAGGATGCCGCTCGTCGATCATATTCAACCACGAGCACTGTGCCACTGTGTGGAGAGCAGTGTCACACCCGGGGTGCACTGTGGAAAGCTGCTGAAGGTTTACTCTGCTGTGGGGCGTCTAAGAGGATCAGGATGACAGGAGCTAATGTATTTCAATTAGCACTGTTGCCGTTAGAATGTGTTATTCTCATGCAAAGTGCAGGTCACACATACTTTTTGAAATATTAAGCGAATAGCAGGTGATTGACCTTCTTCAGCGGAACACGTCTTTCTCGTCAATTAATATCACACGAAATTAAACACAACCAATATTCCCGTAGTAGTGACATTCTTTCATCTCGCAGCAAAACACGAGGCTGATAAAAAAAGCAGCATATTAACCGATTCATGAAAAGAGAGATCTGATTCCTTCTTTTAATATGCATTTTGATTTAAGGGAGTTTTTTTAAGACACCTTGAAAACAAACACATACTGTATTACTGTGACATACAGGACGTAGGAAAAAAAAAGCAGATGTACCCGAGTTCAGAGTCTGCCTGCAGCTGCAGGACAGAGGGGTCAGTGTCCCACTGTAGGGTCCTAGATCAGTGACAGCATTGCCATGCCACGCAGAGAGGAAGAAGAACATGCAACATTACTGACGAGAATAAAACAAAGCAATATTAGTCCATCAGCTTCATGCATAGTAAATCATTCTGCACGTACAAAAAGAAACAAAACCATTAAAGACAAAACAAGTCTTAGCAGTTCATCAAAGAAACGCAAACTGAAATTGACAATAAGCATAAATCTCTTTAACCTCAAAACTGTTTTTTTTTCCCATCTTCTGCTACAGAAAACATTTTGACTTCGAATTTGGATATTTGAAAATACTGCACGTGTCCCCACTGAAGCAGATAATATATGTGAAACAGACAGTACAGTAGATAGAAAAGGTGGAGGTAAAGTAAAATGTGTAGATTTCAATATAATTCATACAACGTCTGTGCCAGCCTATACAAGTCCGGCTCCTCGTATTAGGCCCACAAATCCCATTACGTTACAGGCTGTGATGACCTCATTCCAAAAATAATATTTTACGTCACTGAATCAATTTAATTTGTTGTTTTTTACAGTATAAATCTTAGCAGTGGTAAACAGATATACAAATAAATCAACCAAAAATGAAAAACACTAACAACTTAGTTATACATAATAAAAGTAAAGCACAAATTAATCATGCATTTTAAAATGCTGTGGTTTTATTAAAAGTACAATCTACAATGAGTCATTGGATCTCTTTCAGGTCTACAGTATGTTCTTGACAACATGACAACATCAGTTATTAAAGTGCATGGGATATTTCATTACACAACTAGTGTACTTTTTATTTTCCAAGTTGTCAATGTGGCTTCATGAATTTCAGCTGGATAACATGTTTAGGTAGTATTTGTCTTCTAAATAGTTTCACAAGATCCACTAAACAGAAAATGTGGACTCTATAGTCGGGAGGGAAGAGTAGAGTAAAGAAGTGATAAAAGACAAAAACCACTCAGTCCCATAAAGGCAACATAATACTCATGGCCTCTGTGGTACAAAACTGGAATTTTCAAATATTCAACTTAGAAAAACTGAATTATACAATTCTGAGGCAAAGTAAAAAACAGACCTTACTTTTTTTTCATAAGCCTCACAGCTTTGAAAAAAATGGTCTGAACGCTTCTTAAGCAAAGGCGTAATTAGCTGCACAAGTTAGGTTATTAAAAGAAACATCTCTTCTGTTACAAAAGTAAAGGAAATTTTAAAAGCAAGATGGTCGCAACTCATTGTGTTCACCTGTAATTGTGAATTATGGTTTGTTCTGTTGTGGCCAATTAACTATTTAACTATTGAGATACAAACTCCTGGTAGTTTCAAAACTTACTCCAGAGAAAACCAATTTGCTCTCTCTGTAGAAACCCCATCTACAATCCCAATAGATTTAATTACAGTTTTCAACACCACTTGAGCCATCTCAAGCTTGTCAAGGTGGTGTCATCAACACATTAAAAATTAAAAGTGTATTAAAAAGTGTACATTCTAGCTCCCATGGCTAAACATTTAACATATCCTTGCACATAAAATAAGAATAAACTCAATATCTTTGGGCCAGATTATTGTGTCCACATATTTGACCAGCTTTTGTCAATAATGTGATAAGTGTAATAGTCTCACAAGTGCTAGATGCCCTACTTCAAGTAATGTTGGCCACTATATGTAGATTTATAAAAGTGTTATATATTGAAATTTACAGTTATATATGAAATTGAGCACAGTAAGAGAAATAAACATATCTATATTTAATGTGTGCAGTGCTTTGGAACTAAACACACGAATCTTGAGGCAGCTACAGTTCATCAAGTGCCACATTCATCCTGATAAATCCTTAAAGTCTGAATTGTCATTCATGTCAGTGAAAATAGCTTACACTGGCAAGTGGGCTCTGTTAACCTCAGAAACAAAGAGACAACAGCCCTTTGTAAACTGTGGAATGAGATGAGGCCAAGAAATATTAAGTCATTCCTGTGTTAAGTGTGACCCAAGGGGAATTGGCTGCTCTGCATTACATTTAAATGACAGATTCTGAGGCTTTAAACCATCATTACTTGATCTTCAAAGAGCTTTTATGTGTCCTCAGCGTGGAAACTGGAGAAGACTGAGACTCTTGCCAAAAACAGAGGCAGCCCTTTAAATGATTATTTTTTTCTTTTTGAATTTGCTTGTGGAAATATTTTCTCTTTTGATTTAGTACAAAGGCAGACTATAACTGTCTTTAACCGTTCAAAAAAGGTTAATGTAACAACTGATGCCCTGTACACCACACTCATTTTTACCTAACCGCACACCAGCTGTCACCATCTTACTTTCCCTTTTTGACAAAATTACTTTTTCATGCTTTAGGAGATACACTTCAATTTAATCTGACTTTTGTATGAAACAAATACAGAAAGAAAATGCCATTTTTATGGGAGCTGAAGTTAAGTACACATGCCATATTATAGACATCTATATCACATTAAGAATTTTAAAAGCTGTTAACTATAATTCAGGTCCACAAAGACCACTTTGTCTACACAAATGACCCACAGTAATTATACTGTATGTTTTCTATGCAATAGGTATACTTTAGTACTGTTGTGGTGCCTTTTTGTTATTATACAATGTTTGGTTTTAAAAATAGTGAAATTATCAAAGGTTCACTTGAACAGTCTGTTGTTAAATCCATGCTGAATATCTGTATGATATTTTACACTCAATGTACAATTTTCAGCTATAGACAGTGCCTTGCAAAAGTATTAAGACCCTGCACATTTTGCAGCTTGCAGTCATGACACTTTGAAGTAGCAATAAATACGTATTATACTGTAAACATCACCTTCAAAGCAAAAAAAAGTAATAGATAACATGGAAGAAAAATCGAAAAGTCCTGATTGCACCTTTATTTCCTCAGACAGTTGAAAAAACTTGATCTATCTTCAACTGTCCTTACCACATTTTACAGGCGCACTATTCAGAGTGTGCTCATGTGTGGTATTACAGCATGATTTCGCATTACAGGGGGTGATCAGGTCAGCCCAGTCCATCATTTCAGACATTTTTACTAATCACTGCCTCAGGAAGGCTGAAAGTATCGCTACGGATACCAGTCATCCTGGTTCCTCACTTTTCTTCCCCCTTCCCTCCAGTAAGCGTAATAGGAGCAGAAAGGCACGAACCTCCAGATTCAGAGACAGTTTCTTCCCACAAGCTGTCCGATTACTGATCTCTACCCCTACCACTGGCTCACACTGAGGTTTTTTTTTCTCTAAGATGTAAGTTATTTAACTTGCAGTTGTTGTTGCCACTGTTCCTTGTTTATGTTTTTGGTGTTTCCTTAAAGCCTTTGTATAGGAGCGTACACGCAAATAAGCATTTAATTGCACTTGTGCATACTGTATGACAATAAACTGAACTGATAAGTATTCAAAACCTTTGGTTTGGCAAACATAAATTAATTCAGACGGACAAAATTACCTTAAAGAGCCACACAATTGGTTGTCTGTGAGTAATAAGAGTGGTTCATATGATTTATGAATAAATACACCTGTCTCTGTGAGGTTCCTCAGTCAGGTAGTGAATTTAGAGCAAAGATTCAACTATGAAAACCAAAGAACAACTCCATGATAAAGTTGCATAAAGGCACAGAACAGGAGAAGGTAACATTTTGAGCAAGATGAAGTCGATCATAGACACTGCCTAGATCAGACTCCCCCTACTAACTCTGTGAGAGCCGCAGGACAAGAAAGAAACTACTTAGGATGCCATTGTGTGGACTACGGAGACTTACAGAGTTAAGAGACTGAGATGTCCATGGATCAGAAATTTCCAGATCATTCCATAAAGGGGCCTTATGTGGAACTGAAAAAATAAATCTCAGAATCCTGAGGAGGTTTTCCTACAATTGACCTAAGTGGTATTGCGAACATGTGGCAAAAATGTTCAGTGGTCAAACAAGACAAAATCAAAACTTTTTGGTCTAAATGGAAAGAATTACATTTGATACAACCCAGCACAGTGCATGACAACACTATCCCTACTGTCAAGCATGGTGGTGGCAGCATTATGTTATAGTTCTGCTTCTCATCAGCAGGAGCTGGAAAGTGTATTAAGACTGATGGGAACATACTGTAAATGGAGCAGAGTGCTGGCAGATCTTACAGAAAACCCTGCTTCAGACCTAAAACTGTGACAAAAATGCACTTTTTTTCGACAGGACTCTGATACAAAGAACAAGGCCAAAGTTCTTAGACTGAAGTGGCTTAAGCTAAGAATGCGAACATCCCTGAGTGGGCCACACAAAGTCATATTGACAGTCCGGGGAAAAACTTAAAAACAGCTGTCCATAAGTGACCTGCGAGAGCTTGAACAAATCTGGAGCCAAGAAGAAAGGGCAAAAGCCGCACCAAGCTGGTGCACTACGTTGGTAGAGATTTAAACAAAAAGACGTCTGGCTGTTAGTGCTGCCAAAGATGCTAGTGGGTTCACAATATGCAATCAACATATTTCGCTTTTTTCTCTCCAGTTTTTGCTGACATTTACAGTACCTTATCTTACCCCTTAGTTTCAGTATTCCTGTTCTGAATAAAATATTAAGTTTTAAAAAAATGTGCCTGCATCACAGAACGGGCTACCATACAATAGATCTGAATACTGTTGGCAAGGCACTGTATACTTACACAATAAGCAACTTGACAACATATTGAAAATGGTCTTGTGGCATGGATTGCGTCTATATTTATATTATATTGTTAATGCAGTGCTACTTTAAAATGATAACCTCTCATGAGAGCAACAATGTTGTTGTTTTAAGTATGTTAGGAATAAAAAAAAATACTTTTATCATGAGAGCTGACAGTAAATATTTAAAAAAGGCTTATTTGATGAAGAATAAACATGATAGTTTATGTATGATTACACTTGCTGGTCTTGGCAGCTATAGTACACGTATAACATATTAATATATTTGAGTCAACTGGTAAAATATTAAATATAACTTAAATGAACAGGGAAGTTTCTAAACTCTGGGTCATCCACCGTCATTAGGCGATACAGAAACAGTATGGCTGTACACCACTGAACAGGGAAGAAAGATTAAGCTTTTAGGAAGAAAACATTGAGAATCTCTCCTTTTTCTATAAATGTCTAATAATTCAAGACAGCTCTGAGTTAGCGCCAAGTTTAAATGTAAAAATGCTGCACATGGTTTCAGAGAAGAGGACTTCCAGCTGTAACTGCTGTCAAATGTACTTCCACCTGATATGGCGTTCACAGTTTTGAATACTTATGCAATTACCATATCTGACAAAAGGAAGTTTTGCAGTTTATCTGATGTTTCAGCTCGGGCATTTTAAAAATGCAGTATAAAGCTTCAAACCCATCCCGTAAAGTGAGCAGCACACGGAGCTGAAAATAAGTTTTAAATGAAAAGAGCAGTTAAATGTGTAAATCCACTGGCTTGCCTGACCCTGCCTCTCATACTGTATCTGCCTTCACATTTCATATCGAAGGACAGGGGGTTTTCATCCATTTTAAATCATTATCTTAATAACTGGATTTCCCTCATCTGGTTTTCAAAGCAGTCACAGAAAATTACAGACATTTGAATCTTCTGGTGTGGTAAGACATCTAACTGAGTCAATATGCACCACCGATTATAAATTTATGTAAAACATACATCTACATATGTGAAATTCTGTACAGTCATTTTTCATTTGATTCACAATCCAGTTGGCACAGTCCTCATTTATTTTAAGCTATCAAAAATAAGCAGTAGTGCATGTGATTGTGCGACAATGTGAAATTTAATCTATTTAGAAACAGACATGAAAATGAAAGTGTTGCAGTGAGAGAGAAGGCCAAAGCAATTGTGAACTACCAGCATTTTTTAAATCCAGATTTCCCAAGAGCACCTTGCTTTGCCAAGAAGACACTACTAAAAACTCCTCATTCAGGTTTTGTCAGAGTTCAACAGCAGATCACAAAGGACAAGTTAACAAACACAACACAAGACCCACACAATTCACATTGTTGCTTACCTATATCTGCCATCCCGGTTGAGAGAGATTAAAGGGAAAAGTACAGTTATCAGACACACGCTGAGAGCAAAGGAAACACACCAGGAAACCTGAATACAAAGCTTATATAATGCAGATGTCTAAATTGAGCTACCTTCCCAGAAGAGAGAAGCCGGGCCTACTGTATATTCTTAGCTTTTGTACTAAAACTAAAAATTGCTACAATAAAGGGGACTTTGGTGTAGTACAGTAAGAGTTGCTACAATACTGAAATGGAAACCAGGAAAACTGAAATTCTTACTACCTGCACCACCTACTCACAGGCACCTACATTATGATTAGATCTGACAAAAGTCAAAGCTAATCTCTGAATGAGTTACTGTGACTCTTTAAACATACAGTACCTCTTTCCTTCATATTAAAAAATGCTGTATATTGTATCCTGAGTATTACTTGAAATTTCTTTAAATTTGAAACTTGAACCAATTATTATATGACAGAGTTTATTATTTACCGGTATCTAACACTAGTTACTAACAGCATGTCTGAAAGCACAGAGCATCATTCTCTGTTATTTCATTTTGATCTGTCCTATATTATATGATTTTAAAAAGTTTTTTTTTACAGGAAGTAAAGGAAGCATTTCTATTTCTATTACCAAAATCTTGACATTAAGATATGATGGGCGTTCTTGCATAATTTCTACATTTGTCAAATTAATCCTTTTATTTTTAAACATATCAAAGTTGTCCCTCTAAAAGCAGTCTCTTTGTACTGTATTACTACACCTGCTTTAATGTTTGCAAATACAGTACTAATTATGCTGGATTTTACCAATCAAATTTCAACAGAATAAGACCAACAAAAATGTTTAAATGTCTGAAACTATGAACATTCTTTACCTATATAAAAAATGTTTGTCACAAACGTAACTTTTGTTAAAAGAAAAGAGGTGACCTGTCCAAACAGGATACTGTCCACAGGGTGCAAGTTAGACTGAGATTGCGTATCCGAGCTGCCAAAGTTTTGTCCTCTTTCCCGAGGATATATCCAAGCCATTTCCTAAAGATCGGTCTTGTTTGCTTCCACACCCATCTAGAGCTAGCAAAGTGAGCTCACTGGCTGGTGGAAAATGGGAACTACATTCCCATTTGTAGTTGGACCCAAGCTGCAGTGAACTGCAACTCCCAAGCATATTATAGTACTGGTTGCCTTAAACCAGGGGCCACCAACCTGTCATTTCTAGAGAACTACTTCAAATCAATAAAACACATTCTGAGCTACTTATTGTCTGTACTGTATGTCTTTTTATAAGGGCACCTAGATTAGATATTATCTAATATTTAAAAATGTATGTATGCCTTCATTTTGTTGAGAGGCTTGGCCCAGCATGGTGCCTACCAGTGTCTGGCAATCTGAGGTACTGCCTTGCGGTTAACTTGGATGGAGTCAGTCAGACAGGTTCAGAACACCGAACAGATGAAATTCAGGTCAGAGAAGCTGCTTTCTTGGCTGCTGCTCACATGCTGTTGTATTTCTCTGCATCCCGAGGCTCCTCAGATTCACAGCAGATCGACGTGACTTCAATAGGATGTCATGCTAAAAAGTGATGATTCCCATTTCCAGGGGTCACAGAACTGAGATGGAAAAGCACATCCACCTGTTCTGAACTGTCACAAAACATCCACCGCCAGGATCAGGGTTTTGGAAGGAACACCACACAGGGCTCCAGCTGTAGAAAGTCAGTGTATCTGTTCTCAAATTCCTGAACAGGCCTGGTCAAGCGTGAGTGTAAAAAAGATCCCAACTACAGCGTCACTTTCCGGCATTGTTCTGGTGCTGCATTCAATCCCTTTTCCAGCAGTTCTTGAAGAGGGAGGCCCAATTAAGACTTGAAAGTTTTCACTGCACTGATAGCAGTGCTGATTATCCTCTGCACAATTCAAGACATTGAATTTCTTAGTTGCATCAGTTAGAAAACACCAAACCAAGGAACCATGCAGCCTGTGAGCAGAGCCTAAATACAGTCTGAACATAAATATACTCTCCCTTGAAAGCCATAAGGAAGCAAATGACCTTTGGAAAATGTCATGGCTTCATCTATTTTAAGTCAATACAAACAACAGATAGGGTTTATGACATTGTGTATTTACTGTAGATATTTCCAGAGAGCCTCTGTAAATGGTGGGAATGTGGGCCTATCACACAGATAGATTCTAAACCATCTCCATTGTAGGACACAGAGAGTAATACCACAAGCTTCAGCCAGTGCTCTTTTGTGTACTGAATATGAACACATACAGGTAACTGCTACCATAAAGGAAACACCAACATAACATGTTTTAGTAGGGCACTGGGCCACCAAAACATCTTCAATGCACATTGGTATGGATTCTACAAGTATCTAGAACTCTATTGGAGGGAGGTGACACCATTCTTCCATGAAAAATTCCATCATTTGGTATTTTGCTGATTTGGTGGTAGAAACCACAGCCTCAGGCGCCTCTCCTGAGGCAATCTCTCTTGAGATCTGGTGACTGGGAAGGCCAATGCATATGGTTCACCTTGCCCAATAATAAATGGGTTGAGTGGACATAAACCTGCCAGGAAAATCCTCCCCACACTATAAGAAGCACCCTTCACCATGGAAAACAAACACTCAAGCCTGAACTGGATGAAGCTGCCTGCTCACATCTTACAATACTGTAGGTTGGCATTTGCAGTCAACAGATTCAGAGTTTATCATTTGTTTTGCCTTGCATCTCGAACCAATGCACAGACATCATGGTCAAAAAGTATGTGTTTTCCTCAGTTTTCCATGCCAACATCACCTCAGCCACTGTTCCTCATGAAACATGAACAAATTGAACAGTCTTCGTCACTGGAGCGCCTTCCAAACATGCACCAACAATAACCCCCTCTCTGAAAGTCACTCAGATCTCTTCTTTGACCCATGGTAGCCAAAATACATTACCCTTAGCATGATGGGGTGGTAATTAGCTTAATTAATTCAGGAACCATACCTGTGTGGAAGGACCCGCTTTCAATATACTTTGTATCCATCATTTTCTCAAGTGTTTCCTTTATTTTGGCAGATACCTGTACAGTATTACAGTGTTATGATCAAGATGTCAGTCACTCATGGTGAGATTGCTGATGATATGAATCTTGGGGGAATGGGCAACAAACAAGACACAATTCAGTACAAGAAGTGTCAGAGTGTGCAAATGTGAGGCACATCAGATTCACTGCTAGTAAAATCATTCAGGCAAAGAAATATAGGACGGAAAAACCCCGGACCTAGATTTTGAAGTACACTGCTCTCTGTATCTAGGCAATGCAAAGAAGCAATAAAGGCAAAGAGAATGCTTGGCTTCACAGCAAAAAGATTAGAACGTCACGAATGTCAAGTTCAGTGTTACAGTACAATATGTCACAAGGTGCCAAACTCAATGTGAAAGAAAGAGAGCAGATGAACGAAGGAGAACAGGGGTACAGATTGTTAATTGTGGCATGCGCATAACATCAATGTCACGCACTTTCGAGCCAGTGCTCTTAATAACATGCTAACAAGGTAACATAAAAAACATCTTTTAATTAGTATTTTCAGATCCCATAATCATGCAACATGCAACAAGGTGTTTTTTATATTTTTGAAAAAGTTCTGGGTTTAAGGGTTTCATAATCTGCCTGCAAGATCTTTCGGTAGTCTACCGTAAACTGTACATGTAAGAGTATTCAGGGACATGCAGATGTTGCACTCCCTTGAAATGTACACAGTGTGGAACTCAGTCTTTAGGAGCAACGGAGTTTCCCCACTGTGTACTGCCAAGTGCTGTGTTCTCTCTGAGCCCATGAGTGACTGTGATTAAATCCCAGCAGGGGCAAAGCACAACTACATGTGTTACATTTAAAACCCATGGGCAGCCATATTGACAAAATCCATCATTTTCATTATTGTTGTAGAACAATTATCTCAATACATTATTGTTTTTTTTTTAAAAAAGGCTATGAGGGGGTATGTGACACAATTAAGGTGGTTTTTCTTTGTTTAAAACAGTAGCCTCATTGAGCCTTAGCCAGGTATCAGAAGTGGCACTGTAATCGTGTCAATCAATTTCTGAGGAAATGTGTTGATGAATGTTTGAGCATGCAGCACTGGAAGGCAAAATCCATTTAACATCAATCCCATTCAACTCCTGACAATTCTGTTTATAACATTTAGCCCCTATAAGCTGTATGAGAAACAGTTTGAGATGGATATTTGTTAGCTTGATTATTGATGAAGGTCTGCGCTATTTCACAGCAGTTATTTCATGTTTAGTGAGTTTAATGCAGACTGGTTAAAAGCCTATTTAAAGTAATTAGAAATTGTTAAAACATTATCTTCATTCAGAAAAGTTATTAATGCACAGAATGCATCAGCAGGACGTACAGTATAGTAAAGGCTGACACTTTGAGACTAGTCTAGACATGAAACTGTGATATTTTAACTCAGTATACTGGAATATGACAAATATGTAGGAGCTGAATGACTTTTTATGTTCTTATATTCAATTTCCACAGATGCTTTCAGCAGCTCAGATACGTAAGCTCATGCAGAGAGACATGTGATGGCTACATTTTAACATCTACAGTAAAAGCATGGCATTTTATGGACTAAAAGTACCAGCTAAAATTGTCTGTACTTTCCATGTCAGTTCAGAGGCAACATTTCACTGACTTCAATGAAAAGAAATTCAAAAGGTCATCAAATATTGAAGTCTAGTTTTCCTTGCTGCTAAAACTTTCAATGTCAGCTGAATGTCCCCAAGCATCACACACAAAGGGTTTATGAACAATAAGAAAAAGGAAAAATCAGTACATTCAAACTGTAACCTATAATGCCTTCATGAATCATAATAGATTAAGACTAAGATGTTGGATTGCTCTGGAAATATTCAACAGCATTTTGTATGAAAAAAGTAATCAGACCAAGTAAACAAACTACAACTGTGAATGTTCTGTGAACTTTAAGAGGAGGGGAAAGGTTAAAAATCCTTTTGATTTAGGGTTAGTATTATGATGAAGAGGGTTAGTGAAGTGATAAAGAGGCTGAGTATTGTGAGGAAGAGGGTTAGTGCTGTGATGAAGAGCATTAGTACTGTCATAAAGAGGGTGAGTGAAGTGAGGAAGAGGGTGAGTTTTCTGAGGAAGTGGGTAAGTGAAGTGATGAAGTGCTGTGAGGAAGAGGGTTAGTCTGTGAG